CTTTAATAAGAGATTTATTTTTAAAATCAGAGGTTTACATTTTGTAGCATTTCTTTTGAACTGAATTATTTGAGGAAGACTTTGCTTTCCTTCTACAAGCTTCCAACAATAATTTGTGGAAATTTTTGGCCCATTCCTCCTGACAGGACCGGTGTAACAGAGTCAGATTTTTAAGCCACGTCGCTCATACACACCTTCTTAACTCTTACCACTAGTTTTCTATGCGACTGAGATCTGGACTATGTGATTTTCACTTGAAAATGTTTACCGTTTTGTCATTAAGCCACTGGTAACTAATTTGTTGGTATGCTTCAAGTCATTAGCCATTTTAAAGACCCATTTGTGTCTAAGATTTCTATTTTTTGATATGTTGCTTAATCATTTCAGCATAATGTTCCTTTGAAATGCACAAGTACAGCAAAACACCCACACAACATGACGCTTCAACCTTCATACTTCATAGTTGGCATTGTGTTGTCAGGCTTGCAGTCATCCTTCTTTATTCTCCAAATATAGAGTTGATCATGATGGCCAAACAATTGATCATTTAGTTCTCTTCCTGATATTGTGGCTGAATTTTTAATTCATTTAATTTATTTATTTTAGAATTCGTTTCCATAGTATCACAAAGAAGAAGTGTGTTTCATCTGTTGCCTAAAGTACTTGTACAATGTGCGTATGTATGGATATTATTATTTTTTTTTTAAAACATCCTCTTATGCTTTATTCTGGCATGAAATGATTGTGTTAATCCTAATTGACCGAAAATAATTTGACTTAATGTCAATTTAATTTGGGGGAAAAAGTAATTTTTATATACCATTTGCAAATGTCTTTCAGCTATCGTCATGCACACAACTTGCTTTCTTACTATTTTTTAGTATTTTATTCTTCTTTTCAGTTTCTCCACATCTCCTCTACTCAAACACTCTCTCTCTCTTATACATGGACACACACACACACACACACACGCACGCACACACATAAACCACCAGTCCTCATCTCCTCCCTCTAGGGGGCGTTGTGCAATTGTGCAGTGCTAACGATCCAGGACTGTCACTCCTGCTGGGATGGATGAGCCAGCAGACCCGGCACTCAGGAAGCCTCATTAGGATTCCTCTTTAATCCGTCTCTGACAGGACGGGCCCGAGAACGGGAAGCCCCCTCATGAATGTACAGTGGAAGCACACACGGCACATAGACAATTCCTGAACATCTCACGTCTCTAATGCGCTTGAGTCCGTGCACAACGAGCAAGCTCTCATACGCTTAAAAATGCCGACACATACACACACATACCGCTATGCTAATGATGTCTTATTCTTCCACCTACAAGGATCTTCCATCATCCCAGTGTCACTTCTTATAGAAATCCACTGCAGATCATAAGAGCTTATTATGGGTGATTAGTTAATTTGAGGGAGGGATGCTGGGAGGTAGAAAGAGAAAGATCGTTCTCCTTCCCTACTCTCTTACTCTCTGCTTTACTCTCCTTAGTGAGATATATTGATCGGCGCGTTGGCTGTGTTATCAATAATCTCCTCTTTAGTCGTCTGCAAACAGTGATCTGCACTAATGAACCTGCACAGTTGTCACACAGCTCTGTGGGGGTGTGTGTTTTTGTATATGTATTTGCATTTGTGAGGCTCACCCTGCAGAATAATGACTTGGAAACAAAATAGAAGTGCAGTGCCTTGGAAAAGTACTCAAACTCATTCGTCACGTTGCTATCGCAATCGTCAGTGTATTTTACTGGGATACAGTAAAATGCATGTGTACATGGCAGGAGTGTAAAATTGTGAAATGGATATAAAATAATGAAAGGTTTATAACATAGGTAGAAGTAAAATTCTCAAAACAATGTCCTGCACTCCAAAGATCTGGTGTTTGTAAAAAGAGCGGCAACAAATTTGCTTTTAAAGTTTGCTAGGGACATAGGAAGCATAATGTGACAGAAGGCCATCTGATTCGGGAAGACCTGAAATAAGCTATTTTTGGCTCCGTACAAACCACTACGCGTTGCAGAAAACTGAAACTTGGGGAAGAAATCACCCTGCACATACTATCCCCACCGTAGCTGCCACGATGCAGCTACGGTGGTGGCTGCATCATGGTGTGGGAAAAGCTATACTTTTCAACAGCAACAGGGAAGCTGATCATAGTAAACTGATCTAAATGCAGGCCAATTCATGGAGTGACAAAACAATTTTGTGGTTTTATAAGATCACAAGCTTGGTCTGATGAAACCAATTAAGTTAGCTTAAAGGGCAAGTATTAAATTCAACTGGACTTTGTAGACTGGTTATAAATGTAATACACATTATCAGACAACAATAAAGGATGTGGGGGGAAAAATCTATTACCTGTGTGGGCCATATGTTTGTAGTATTGGGTTCTGTGATGACCTTATGCTAAGCACATGTTAGCTTTGGCCTATAGGTAGCTGCTGCAGCATGGGCTTTGGGTTTCATTATATGGCCCTAATGACCTGCTGACGCCTTGTCACCAACAAATATGCAGATACTAACAGTGGTGTCGTCATACACTTGACACAACTAATTAAAGAGGTGGATTGGGGGAGGGGTGTATGTTTTTTGTTGATGGCAGTAAAAATATGTGTAATAAATCCCCTCCTTTGTTTCCTCTGCACTAAAGTCCATTGTTTTGTTCTAGTAATTCCTTTTTAATTATTAACACATACATTATTAGGTTTTCAGTACTTGGAGGCCTTTCATTAGAGCTTCATGACACCCTAAAGAGACATTTGGACTCAATCTTTTCTCCGCATCATTTTTGCTCTGTGTGAAACAAACCAAACAAGTTTTAGAAAACGTTAATCAAAGAAATAAAATGTAAATTGGTCATGGCTATGACCAATTTATAGACAGGATAACAATACCAAGGTATGCCAATGTTTTAGCAAAGTTTAAAAATGAAAACTTTGCTGGTTTCCATTATACGTTTTCTTTGTGTTTTGAAGTTTAATGAGATGTCAGCCAAAGTGACATAAAGCACAGAGTAGTTAAGTACTGCCCTCTCCCCACCCGTTGCTGTACTCTGCTAGTTAAATAGCCTGTTTTTTTTAAGAACTGCCTTCAAATACTAATTTGAAGACATGCTGCAGTTTCTTTCTATACAATCTGTTATCAGAAATGTTTCCAAGTGAATATTTTGACCATATTGTCACTTTTAGGCATATCTTTGAGCTGTAAAAACTTAAATGCTTAATTGTTTTAAGCACAACAGGTGATACATGTTTGTGTAAGGAGGGAGGGTATGACCTCCGAGTTGGACACCAGGAAGGTGGAGGTGAAGTTCTGATATGGGATGGTATTATTAAAGATAAGCTGGCTGGACCTTTTCAGCCTGGAGATGAGCTCAAAATCAACTCTCTTTCTTTCTACTGGTTTTTAGCCACTTTCTTCAGTAAGAAATCTAGATCTTTTAAAAGTTTATGGTTTTTATGTAGGGCAATGGTCCATCACAAGCATCCAAGTACTCCTCGCTTCTTCTTTTTTTTTTTTTAAATATGTTTTAATGTCAAACGTTTTTAGGGGCACCGCTAGAGATGGGCACTAGCACCCCTCGCAATCCCTCTTGGGATAAGCGTGTAAGATAATGGATGGATGGATGTTTTTGGGGCGATGTTTTGAGTTGTTAATGATTGGTTGCATAATATTTCTCCACATTAATAGTTGCCCAATAGTTCTGCATGCATATTATCCCGAGAAAACCAAATCTTCACTTTTACTTTCTTAAATATTTGAGGTTTGAGGTTTATTGACATTTTTAAATTAACAATGAGCACTGTATTTAATGGTTCATACAAGTAATCCTCAAAAATAAGGTTTAGTAAGCATAATAGTTGTGCACAGGGTGTAGATATTGATTAAAACATCTATCCAAGCAGTGTGCCTATAAACCACATTAAAGGAGTAAAAAATGAAAAAAAAAAAAAAGGTTTCATCCAAAATTTAGCAAGACAAAATTAGGTATGGTTTATGTTTGCATGCGTTTGTAATAATACTATTTTTGGGATAAACTGTACCACCACAGCGTTATTTATAGTCTACAGTTTCAACAGTAAACCTGTGAAAATGTTTTGTTTTTTTTCCCCCTGCATTAAGGACCCCATTCAGGGAAGCAGGGGGAGGGGGGTGGAGGTAGGGTGGGATCGCCTCTGTACAGCGTGGCATGCTCCTTAAGCCATCAGGCATGGGGAGGGACACCTAATTGAACATGATAAAGTGTAAAGTTAATTACCCCTCACGCCTATCACTGATACACCCAGGAACGAGGGGTGCCCTCAGGCCCAGCTGTTTGTGTGTACGTGCCGTGAATAGTGTGTGTGTGAATGTGAGAGAGGAGGGGTGACGAGACAAAAGGCGAGGGTTCCCACGGGGGCTGTGCAATGGATGATGGCAACAGTCGCCTTTAAAAGATAGCTGAGTCCCTCTGGTGCACTGCTACTTAACACGTCTGTCTCATCGCGAGTGTCACATGCGCATCCAGAAAAGTACAAAGGTGGCATTAAGTAAAGTGTTACCATTTCATTTTCTTGTTCAAGGATTTAAATTTGCTTTCTGCCCAGATCTTAATTCACAAAAATCAAAAAGTCGTGTTGAGTTTTTCGAGCCAGGTTTCTATGTGGTGTAAAACTCTGAAACGTGTGAAATTAGATTTAAGTATTTTCTGTTCTCAATAATGTTGTAATAATAACATTGTATTTTATTCTACATAAATGTGTAAATTTGCATGCAAAAAGTTAGTATGCAAAATAAGTTATTTGGTTAATTTAGGTCTTCCATCAGTAAGTTGTTTTTTGTTTTTTGTTTTTTAAACATACCTAGCTCTAGATTGGTGGGTGCATATAAACTCTGGGCAAAATAATCTACATGATGTGTGTTTGGCTTGATTGTCTTGAATCATCAGGCCCACTGTTTGCATTATTTTGAAATTGTTTAACTACACTGAACTAAGTGTGTGGTGTCTTTGATTAGGTGTTGGGGCTGCCAGCATGGCTAAACTGACCTTCATGGTTGGTGGACTGGAGGAAGAATTCAAGGCTGCAGAGGAATTATTTACCTGCATGGGCGCTAATGTCATCTACTGTGGACAAGTTGGCACAGGACAGGTAAAGACAACTACTCATAAACTGGGTTGAAGACATGACATGTATTGGAATTTGAGAGTATGGATATTTTTGGATAAAGGAATTATTTATTATCCACATGTGAATGTGTCTCAGCTTAAAAATAGTTTCTTACTGACTAAACTATTAGTCTGCATGTACAATTTACTTTAAAATATTCTCACATTTCTCATTATGTTTTCAATAAACAGGGATTCCGTGCTTTAAGTTGTGCAAGCCTTATGCAAGCATCAGCAGTTCTTTGTCTTTCTCAACCCTGCAGGCAGCAAAGCTCTGCAACAATATGCTGCTATCCATCGGGATGATTGGGACTGCAGAGACCATGAACCTAGGCATCAGGTACTTGAAGCAAATGTAATGCTAACCTGCTACATTCAGTGTTGCCTGGCTCTCACTTTACAGAGAGGCTTGTGCAGATGAAAGCAGATGGGCACATTTGTGAGGACTTGGCTTATGAGTTATGAGTGTTTCGCAATATAATAACCTGTAGTAAAAATACCACAGTTTGGATCATGGCGTTAGCGTGCCCAGTAGGTACATAGAAAAACCAATTGGTAAATGCAAATTGCCTTCCTCAGCTAAATCCTGGATTATGAGCAAATAATCAAAAGTAATTACCCTTATAAACATTTCATGTACATTTAGTGTAAATACAATGTACTTCGATACAGGTTTGGAAATGTTCTGTGTGTTAGTGTGGTTTATGGAAGAGCAAAGAGGTCAACCACTCCCCAAGTCCAAGCAGCCCGCCTGTGTTAGAGCAAGACGGATGAGGGGGTGGAGCCGCAGTCTGATTTACATCTGCTGATGGAGCGTTTGCTTGAATCCTGCAAAACCCCCGCCACTGAGCAGCACCTAGAAATCCCATTAGTACTCATGCCTCATCCTGATGGTGCTGAAGGATGATGGGATATGAAGTCTTCAGAATGAAAGCCCTTTCTCCACTTGACTCTGAGGATACATAGACAGACAGACAGATCTCAAATCATTTATTTTGAAACATTTCTTATCACGATAAGAATTTTGATTCATCATCTCAATAAATTCCAATTAATGATGTTCAACCAAACTGACATTGTTATTGGAAATTGTATTTCTTACAATTTTCTCCACTGTTTGTTTCACGAGAGCTTCAATGAATATCCGCAAAGTTCGAAAATATGATTAAATGCAGTTAGTGTGCAGCTTAGTGATTTAAATCACATCCTGAAGACACTTGATTTCAAATGGGAATGTTTTTCAAGAGCAGCATTTGTGTTTGTGGCACTACGAATGTTGTGCTATGCATTCATGCCCATACAGTTAACTAAAAAAAGAAGTAAATTATCTTTAATTACCATTTTTATTATTAAAATAGCAGCACCATGAAATAGTGTGATAAAAATTTAAGTCCTATTATGTGTTTGTTTTTAATTGTAAAAATGTGTGTGCGTGTGCATCTGTGTGTGTGTGTGCATATGTCTGTGTGTGTGTGTGAGATGTGCGTATGTGTGCATCCAGTTTTACACGTGTGAGTGTAAGTAGGCCTGTCGCGATAAACGATAAATCAATTAATCGCACGATAAATTAAACCTATCGACCTCATTTTAATTATTGGCTTTATCGTCTTTTCCTGCCTTTTTTCTTTCTGTTGATGACATTGAATGAAAAAAGACTCAACTCCGGTGCTCCCCACTGACCCTTCCTTCCTCATTTCCTTAATGTAATGTCCAGCACACACTACACGAGTTGTCGGCCGACTGTCAGCCCATTTTCAAAACCTGAGACACACATTAGCTGACAGAAATCCTAGATATAACGGTTCGATCGGGTTCGTCGTGCTATGTGGAGTCTGGCCACATGGGCACAAAATAATGGCTACAAGTCCAGTTAACTAATTTTAAAACCAGGCATTAATCAATGCTTTACTAGAATCTACCTGTGATGCATGTGGCTAGAGTCAGCGTAAAATCCTGACTGAATGACAATCATTACCTATTTATGTCACGTTAACGAAGAACAGCTGAAAACTTACCGGGTTTATTAACTGCGGTAGCAATTTGGCTCCAACTCCTGTCCTTGTCATTTCTATATTCTTTGCACGAAATGTTGAATAAACATGTTGTTTCCACATATCATCTCCAATGTCCACTGGATTTTGGGTTGCGCTGTGTCAGCTGTTTGGGATTCCCCTCTGTAATTTCCCCTCAGAAAGCACGGAGGAGAATCCACGCTTTCTGATTGGCTACCTGTCACATTCAACGGGCTGCATTGATGCTTCCAGTTGGGGAAATCCCTGATTTAGATCAGAGCGGCCAGACGATCTACCGTAACACACCACACACTGCAGGATGATCGGTTACGAAATCACCAGCGATAATCTTAGATCGGCCAACGTTCTAAGATTATCGTAAGGGGAAAATAGGGGCAAAAAATCGTGCACTGTGAACTACTGCATTAGGTAGTCGAATGTGCCCGTCTTCTCTATTTAAATCTAGTGATTACTGAAGGCCAATATACTATACAGACTTCATAATCTGCACTCTTTTGGTTCAATGCAATATTTATTTCCACTTTCGCTTTATGTTGTTTAGTTTTTATTCAAGTACGTTTTTTGTTAATGGAGACTGAGAATCCATTTTGTTTTTGGTTGTTTTGTTAATTTAGTTTATCAGTTCCAGTGTTACGTGTTCTTTTGAAAATAAAGTGTATCTATCTATGGCAGGAAATCACATGCATTATTAGTCATTTCCATTAAATCAGTGTCAAAAGGTCTTGAAACAATATTATCGTTTATCGCAATAATTTTTTAGACAATTAATCACTCAGCAAAATTTATCGTGACAGGCCTAAGTGTAAATGAATTGCTCTTTGCACAGTGCAGCTGTGTTAGTGTGCCTGATTTATCTGCGCTGAGACAGAGGAAGAAAATTGGCATGAGCAGCCTCACATAAATCCCTTCTCGAAGCTTCTGAAATATGGAGGCGTTAAGCGAACAACACAGATTTACACATTGCCTCACTGTCTTGGAAACATGCACTCTCACACAGATTCTGATTTATATCCAAAACACATTTTCTAGTAGTACAAGTTGTCTCAGTGTATGTCATTAGTGCGACTGTAAATAAAAAAAAAAGGATTTCTTTCTGCTTCATCCCATCACAAAATGAATTATTTTCATTTCTATGAAAGAGTGACTCATATGCGGTCTTGATAGTTTAAGCATACAAACATTTGTGTGGCTGTCTATTCCTCTGTTTTTCTCTCTTCTCACTCCACCTTCTCCAGGGCTTTTATTAGAGGGCTTGACAAAGTCTGTCATCATTTAGAGAGAACTCACTCTATGTAAATCTCCCAAGCTGCATTGCAGCCCTACCTCTTACGCAGTTAAGAAGCTCTCGTAGCCGCATGTGTGTTCAGGCACACAACGGATTTGGTCCAACGTGAGGCAGAAAGGGCGCTCACAGCTAATTTACACGACAATGGCAATAACATTTTATCATGCTGAACTCGGGCGTGATGGAACAGCCGTTTCCTAATAGGCATTTGTGTGTGTCTTCTTACTTACTCATGCTAAAAAATGCACATGAAACACACTCACACACACACCCACACAGTTCTTTTTTTGGAGTTAATTTGTTAAACTCAAATCGAAGCTCTGGCTGTCTCCAGCAGAGCATAATGTGCACATAGTCCAAGGAGTGGCAGCGCATGACAATTATGAACACACGTTCCCAAACCAACACGGCAACCATGTTGTTTTGCATTTATTTCTTCTTTTATTCCTATTCTTTATCACATCTAGCTTGTCACTATTTGATTTACTTACAGTAAAGCAAAAACATGTTTTAATTTAGTTTCATTTTCCTACCAAACTGCAATTTTTACCTACATTGTGATGGTCTATCTTATAAAAAAATCATTAAAATAAACAATGCACCCTGCACGGTTTGATCTTGACAGGATGTGAATACTTTTTTACGATACTTTAAGAAGCTATAAATGTTAATCTAATTGAGCAACGGTGTTGTTTTAGCATAGAGACATACATCCACAAAGTGTTTGATGCAAAGGCCTCATTTGTATCTAAAAGAAACCAAAGCTCATAAACATCTCTATTTGAGAGAACAGAAGTACAAATACATCTCACATCTCTTCTCCGATGAGCTACTGAGGGATGGTGAGCATATGTTGCGATAAAGATTAAACATCAGCGATAAACACGCTTATTGTCTCTATAAGTGGGATAGTAAACGTTTGTCTGTGCGTTGGTGCTCGTTAACGCTTTAATGAAATAATAAATGGGAAACGGGCTGGGTTTCCTCTCATGTGGCACCGAACGAGGACCAGAAGCTAATCATGATGAAACAGACACTTAATATCGCTGCTGCAAATTAACTCCACCTGCCAGCACTCCCAGCTCAGAAACCCATAAACACCCTCCCCTCTTATTTCCATCTGTAGCTCCATCTCCTTTTTTTTTTAATCTGCAGCAACATTACAAGGCAACGCGTTCATGTCTGTTTATCCATGTCGATCTTGTTAAAGCGTGACATGTCCTCTTCTCCACGCAAATTACCACAGGCGAAGAGCAACACCACAGCGTCGGCTAATAACCACAGCTGAGTGTGTGTGTGTGTGTGTGTGTGTGAGTGTGAGTGTGTGAAGGGAACAAGAGGGGAACATCATTGATTTATCGTTAACAGAGGACAACAGCTCCCCGTCAGCTTCTCTGGTCGCCGTAACAAACGATCCGTGCGCACGGACCCGCTTTATTGTAGCTCAGCCAGTAACCTTTTCAGCTGCTGACCCAGAACGCAGGGAGGGGCTGCCTGTTTGCTCGTTGTGCGTATGTGTGTGTGTGAGTGTATAAGTGGAAAGCTGAACACAGAGGGGATGGGGGGAGACTTGGATGTCAAACATATGTCCCCAAGAGTCCATAGACAGGAAGGTGTCAACTGGGATGGAGAGGGGGGAAGGAAGAGCAGAGGAGAAGCAGAAATGGCGAGGCATCGGTTAAGGCGTGTAGTAAAAAGGCTGAGTGAGATTGCTTTTTACATCACAGTCACTGATGCCACATTTCCAAAAGTAGTGGTTAATAAAAATAAAAATTAGAGTGTCTGGGAGAAAACATAAGCAATGAAGGGGGAAGAGAGACAGAGAGACTAACTCCAATCCCTTTTCTTAATTAGTTACTAGACAGATAATAAAACTGTGGTTGTAATGGCAGAATGAAAGCCAGGTGGAAAAAGGGAGGGAGGGCTGCTGGCTTTAAGGACCTATGATGGTTTAATCGTCATATTGAGAGCAGAATGGAGTTACAGGCCTGTAAGTAACAATAAACTAAAACAGCTAGGACTTGATGTGGCCAACTTTACAGTGGCCTTTAAATCAGTAATTTGCAAAAGCTGCACTCCACTGGCACACTGAATGCCCGAAACGGGCGCTACGGTTACACCCTTGCTGCTGTAATGGTTGGCACTTCATTTCTCTGTGCTTTCTTTTCCTAGGTTTGGTCTCTTTTCTTTTTCTTGGTAGCTTTTTTGCCGTTCATTATCACAGCCCAAAGATTTGTCCTTTTGCATCCAAGAAGTCTATTGCAGCATTTTGGGCAGCGGAGCTAACGGTTTGCCTTGAGATATGACGGCAAGGTTTACAACTCCCCTGTGCTGCTTTACCACTTCTCCTCCTCTTTCTTGGGAAAAAATAAAAAGCGTTGATGAGGGATAGTTCTGTTGGTGGACATCAATACTGCATTAGCCAGCATTACAAAGGCTTCAGCTATTAACACTGAGGAATGGTTAGTGCCTGGCTTAAGGTTCAACTGAGGTCACTGGAATCACCAGAAGACAAATTTTTGCTCGCATTGCTTCTCACAGCCTTGAAAATGATCCCTTTGGCTCAAGGTCGTCTTCTCTAAGTAATCACTACTCCAATTTTCTGTTTTAGCTTTTCTATTTTAACTCGTACCAAGTTGGTAAAAGCTTAAAAGAAATATGTGATAATATACTCATATGCCATGAAAAATGTATAATCTTTTCCGAACTATTATGAATTTATGAGTCAAGGAATTTAAACTCTAAGGAGGATAATGACTGCTGTTTGGTCCATCCTGTTTTAGACTGGGTTTGGACCCCAAGCTGCTTGCAAAGATCCTTAACATGTCATCGGGTTGCTGCTGGTCCAGTGACACATACAACCCCGTCCCTGGAGTTATGGAGGGTGTCCCCTCAGCCAACAACTACCAAGGTGGTTTTGGGACTACTCTGATGGCCAAGGTATTTCCTGTCTTTATTGTGCGAGATTTTGTTTGCTGATTCTTTTACAGTTGCATCGAATTATTATTTCTAGATCTGTATCATCTGTCTTTTTGGACTTTTTTTTGAGCCTTTAAGAACAAATTGATTTATTGTTTTTAAAAAGAAAAGGTTGGAAATTAAAAGTTTGAGCAGCTTTGAAAAAGTTGAAAATTTTTGTTGAACTGGACTTGTTGAGTTAAGCTTGAACTAAGGTGTTGCTGAACAGGCTTGTAATTGTTCATGGCAGCAGGCCTTTTACTCTCTATAGGTCTCCAGTCCATAGCACTATTCAACATTTTATCTCTTTTCTTTTTTCTTTTTTTTTACATAGTAAACTCCCTTAATATTCTATGTTTTCCTTCAGTGGTCTACTTTGTATGTTTTGGTCCTTTTTCTGTTGAAATGGAAGAATTTTATTCTTCAGGAGCCAAAGGTAGTTTTGGGAGTTCCTCAAAGATACCTGTTGGTGCCACTTTAATTGACACTACAAACTTCCTTTGGGTCATTTCTTACATTAATACTTTACTCCATCCAACTGCTATGCGAATGATACAAAGATTTTCTAAATCTTTTACTCATGATGAGCCATCCTAAATTGTCAGAGGTGACTTTCTGGATGGCTAGTATTTAAATAATGGCAAATCTAATATTGCTTTGTTGTGGCACGTCGTATAATTATGTAAATCTTGTATCTCATTTACAGCCATCATCAGTAATCTTTCTGACTCTTGGTTTTTACATTTCAAATGTACAGGATCTTGGCTTAGCCCAGAACACTGCCACCAACACAAGGACACCCATCCCCCTGGGTTCCCTTGCCCACCAGATCTACAGAGTCATGTGCTCTCGCGGCTACGCCAACAAGGACTTTTCATCCGTCTTCCAGTTTCTGCGCGAGGAGGAAGCACAGTGAATGGAGGCGGAGCATAGCTGACAACACAGCTATGATGGACTGTTATTCAGACCTCAGAACCACACACCCGAGTGTCCCTTATCCCAGTATTCTCAGGAGAGACTAAAAAGAGGCCAAAATGCTGTGTCTTGACACCTCTCCGCTTGTTGTCAACTCCCTCTTCTGTACCTGAAGAGCTGCTTAGACTTATTTAAAAATAATGTCTACCCCCCAAAAAAAAGAAAAAATACAAAATCTTGGTTGAGCTTTACTAAAACGCAGTGTACAGTAGCTGCAGATTTACATGCAACTATGCAACTTGTGTACCATTTCCATTTCCAAAGAGTGGAACTGAATCAGCAGTGAAGCTCCACCATGTTTTTGTCAGAGTTGTGCTAAATGTCCGTTACCTGTAATGACCTAACCTCGACCCTGCAATAATGTGGACAGAAAAAGAAAAAATATAACCGTACGGCTACTAATTCAAATGCAGTTGAAGAAATTACAACTGACTGCAGAGGTTGTGACTCTGTTATTACCCATATTGTACCAAAGTTGCCCAAACTTGAGGTTCAAAGTTTACTGACGTTCAATCACATTTCCTCATATTATGAAAGGAAATTTAATGTAATACCTACCTACATTTCTATATATATGTTTTGAATTATGAATACACTACATTTAGAGTCGTTTAAGTTCATTTTCAACTATGCTGTGAGAAATCTTGTTTGCACTGTGTTTGTTGCAGTGCAATATTTCAGGGCCCTTTTGATACTTAAATATTCTTTATTTTGCTGTCTACAGCATCCCGTTGAGCCATCAGTATTATTTTGTGACCAATGATGTCAAAATGTTAAACATTGTTTCACTGCCTAGCACTTTCTTAAGCCCAGTGTATCTTCACCCTGCCCATCCTATTTTGTCCGATTCAACTGTGTAAAATGTCCGTGAGGAATGGTTTCTTCGTGCTGTGAGAATTTGTACATAATTTATATTTCATATTGTTGTGCAGCGTTAAAGTATAGACTGTTACTTTTTTTTCAGAAAAAAATTAATTCTAGTTTCTATGGTTTGTCTTTAATCTGTGAAAAAGAATCTCAGTCAGCAGAAAAATAAATATATTTTGTTTATTTTATTTCATTGTAGCATGTTTTTTGGGGGTATTTAAAGTATTTTTGCGTCCTCTATTAAACATATCACATATCGTTATCATAAGACTTTGGAGGTTAGAAATTATTTTGACATAAAAAATATTGTCTTTTAGGAATGAATGATAAGATATTTTATTTTTGAACCATTTTAATAAATACAAAAAGGAGAACAAAGACTGAAGACTGAAACAAACAGCAGTTAAAAATTACTAACTGCAAGCATTTATTTAAAGTGTTTATTTTCTACATTCCTAAAGCTTGTAGCTAAAGAATACCCATGTATGATTAGAATATTACATCACAAACGCCAAACAGAATGAAACCGTTTTCATTCTGAAATCTGAGCCGTTTTTAATACCCAGCAAACAAATCTCATCAGAACACGTATTCTAAATCGTTGAATATGACTGTTTGGCAATATTTGAGCATCTACTTCGAATATCCCGAAGTGGATGCAATAGAAGCAGCAAAAAAAAAAAAAAAGTGCCAGCATTTTTAGGATATGAGTGAATTTGATGAGGGCCGCTTTGCGATGGCTTGACAAGTGCTGATGGTTCACAGAGGCTGGCTCAGGTGGTCCATTCTGACAGAGAAACAACTACTAGTGCTACTTTTAGCAATGCACCTTAGAACAAAACAATCATGGCTCAAGAATAGTCTGAGAAGCACAACATTGACTTTCTGGTTTTGATTTGACTCCCAAACTACCCAGATATGAGACCCAATCATCTGTAGGCCAAACTGGCCAAAACAAAAAAGTCTGATCCATGGAGGCCATATCTTGTACATTGTCAGATTTACAAAACTTACAGCTAACATATCCATGCCACATGCAGCACCACACTTTCTGGGGCCTTGTGGAGTCCAGGACCTGGCAGGTCAGGGCTGCTCTGTCTGGGTAACGAGGACCAGCAACTTATTTGGTCATAATGTTATGCATTACTTGATGTATGTATATCGGTGTATGTATTTCACCCCAGCGTCGCACACCGTCGCAGCTGATGGCACTGACATCTATCTCCTCAGTGGGTTTCTGTTACTCATTTTTACTCCAAAACTCTTCAGCGGGCATGCACATAAAGCTTAATGTCAGCCAAGGAGAAATGGCAGCACTAATCTCAGAATGATGCCCTTATTTCCATCATTACAATGAAATGAGAGGGGAAAAAACAAATGTGGTTTTGTTTTATTTTACACACTTTTTTCTGATGCCGAGTGCGTCTTCGACATTTTATGGAGCTGCTGTTGTCTAAAGTGGCAGTCGCAGCGTTAGCAGACTGCGGCGAGCCGTTGGTGGCAGGAGTCGTGTTGTGGGCTCATGACTCACTCTGTTATTGTTCTTTGGGAAGTTATGCACTTGCCTCTGCTGTGTTCTTTGAAAATTATGGTTTTGCTGTCTCTAATGAAGGGGAATTACTCATGTAGACTTGGTCTTCCTGTCTGATCGCTTTTACCTGATGTCACTTTTTGGGCATTTTTTTATTTTTATTTTTTGCCGTCTTGGCCTTCACAAACAATAGACTTTGGTTTTCCTAAAGTGGAGTTACGCCTCTGGCTGGGCCTGCTGAATTAGGTTGTGTAGTTGATTCATATTTGGGTCTTTTAATTTGCCTGTGTTTTATAGCAAGCTGCTGAGCCGGCGGTTTCCTCATTAAAGGACACATGAAAGCAGACTGTAAAGGAGAAGTGGTGAAGCCGGTCTCTGCTGACGTCTGAATGGGATGCTAGAGACAGACCGAGTCCCAAGCCAGCCGAGCCTCACCCTCTTAGCCTGGCAGCCAGCGGTGGGACACCAGACGCACCACAGTGACTCTGTCGACACTAGGACACAACACCAATCTCATGTGTCAGTTTAGGGGATGACTTGTTCGTCTATTTTTGGATCAAAAGTGTGGCTAATATCTATTGGAGATATCGATAACCAAAAATGATTTGCATACTAAATGAGCTCAAATTTAGAAGCGGCAAAACCCAAGTGTCCGATGACGCCAAGGTGTGCCAATGGAGCCTTTGACCCATTCTTTTTCAGGTTTAATGTGTTCTTCGATGCTTTTAGTAATTCTCGATGCCAGAGCCGTGATTTACCATAAGACCATTCATTCGGAGCTTACAAAATGAAATGGGATTTTTAGTAATGGCCTACACTGTCACCTTTAGTCATTGCATTAACTCTGGTCTTACATTTCATTTTGTTCATCAACTTTGAGAAAAGTTATACTCAAGTTTGGCTTGCATAATCCAAGTTAGGCAACTTTGTATGATTGCGTCAACACCTAGTTTGTCCAAACATTTAGCTAATCGACTTTGGGTTGTTCAGTTTGTTTTAATTCAAATAAAATATCATGCGGTCGTCACTGTGTTGCTTACGCTGCAATGTGTCCTAGTTACATGGCATATGCTATGTGCTACATACAGTCCTAGCTGCACCCAGCCCCAACAGTAATTTTTGAACAACGAGCAACATTCAGTTAAAATAAAAGGCAATGCAGAAATAACAAGAGGAAATAAAAAAAATTGGAGGACCAAAGCTGTTGTTTTTGGTGCTGCTGCTGCTTGGAAATGCTACCGGAAGGGAGTGTGTGTGCTACTCAAGATGCTTACAGTAAGCATCAGAATTAAAGAATTAAAACCTTTTCTCAAGTGTCTCAGAATGGTGTGCTACAAAGACTTAAAGATGCCCCATTGCCACCTTTAGCATCCATTCATTGTCTTCCGATTTGTTTTTGTCATTCATTAGCTCCTGTTAAATCTGGGACAAACTTCCAGGAAAGTGCAAAACAGCTGAAACACTGAGCTCTTTTAAATCAAGCCGAAGAACCCACCTGCTTAGAGTTGCTTTTGAACCATAATAAATTGAACACTGATCAATGTTTTTGATGTGTGTTAATGATTTCAACGATGACACTTGACTAAATGTAATGTCTATTATTGGTTTTCACACCTGTTGACAATAAAATGTGTTTAGAATATTTTCATGATGTAAAGCACTTTGAACTGCTGTGTTGCTGAAGTGTGCTATGCGTTATATCTGACTGATTGGTTGTTAGTGGTGTCGGCTCCTGCTGATATAGTAAACAGAAGATTACAATTTGCAATTTGCAACTGGAAAAAAAAATATTTACTTATCTCATCTGATCAGAGTTCTCTTCTCTACAACTTGTGACTTCTTTCAGTGCTTCTCCTCTGAGAAAATCAGATATGTGGAGTGCAGAATGAACCATTTTCCTGTCAGCAGACATCCCAAACTGAGCTCTGAATCTCTGCACCTCCTCCAGAGTTGTAGTCCAACTTGCAGGGCTTTGGAGGTGTCATACTTATTCCATTATCAGTCGGCAGACCTAACAGTGCTTTATGAGATGTCCAACGCTTGGGATATTGTTTTCTAACCTCACTCTCTTTTCTCTTTGTTGGATCTTCATGATCCTGTTTATTAACTAACCTCTGGGGTCTTCACAGAGGTTAGTTACAGAGGTCTGTACTAAGATTAAATTAAACACAAATAGACCAACACTTTTACGTCTTCTTTCAGCAATTGTTTGCACTGGATTTTATTTGGAGGTATCAGAGCAAAGTATAGCAGAAATACATACGCTACTGACTTTCTACTGTGAATTTTAATGTGTGAAAATGTGGAAATGTTCAAGGGATGTTAAGTCGCTTATTCATAGAACAGTTGCAACTCTGCTACACAACTACTACCCCCACCCCACAGCAAAATACTAATAAGGACTTTACAGACACATTTAGCTGTTGTTGCCTCACTGTCGACATGACAGGTTTGGTGCTGACTCTCCTGTCTAAAATGAAATTATCTTCACTAATGAACCTTGGCGGAGTCAGTGACTCAGGACAGGGGAATGATGTCTACAAAACAGGAAGAAGACGTGTGGGTGTTGCGTTGATGTGCCGTCGCTGTGGGTGTGGATATGAGCTAAAGGGCTAAATGGGCTGAATATTATTGGTGGGCTCATGCTAAAGACATCAAGGCCACATTACAACCCAGTGAGACAGCGGCTCGTTACACATCGCTGCGTGAGCTATAATACCTGCTAGATTGCAGCCACTAATTTAGCCGCACACCACTTAACGTGCGCTTGATATGAATCACGGGGTGCTTAGAGGAGCCTCGCTTCCCTCCCTGGCCCCATGACCTCCCCGCTCTTACTTCCTTTAAGAGCGAGTCGTTAAACAGACGAAGGAATACACCGGGAGTTATAATGGGGGAATTATGAACGCTGCTTGCTCGGCTATTTATCACAGCGGCGGCTCTCAAACTTGAGGCAGACTTAAGCTCTGAACTGCCACTGAGGA